AATTATATAGAAAAAGTGCGTCGCAAAAGGTTAGATCCGTAGCACATAGAAAAACTTAAGCAGCAAGTAAATCTGACCAATCACCGCCGATGATTCTTCTTACAACTTAAGAAGAATCAGTGACTGCGATTGGTCAATTTGTTTACTGTTTACGTTTCACTGCTTAAGTTTTTCTGTATGACGTAGCCCTTAATCTAACTTCGCCTGTTCAAACAAGTCAGCCAGTTTGCTGAAGTGTTCCTTCTGACTGGGCAGGTCACCCTATACGCGCTCCCCTCCGCCCTCCCTGCGTGCTCTCGATATTATAATCCCGAAGAGGGAAAAGGACTGTTCCACAGCTACATCGCGGAACACATTCGCTGCTTTGGGTGATCCGAACCGAAGCGGCGGCTGGCCGCCTAAATTGAAAATACGGCTGTACGGCACGGCCTTAAGAGTACGACTAACGACAGGTTGGGTTAGGCTCTTGGGCTTCGCGTGTCTGCGTACCGTCTGGCCACGTGTGTCTCGCACCGACTCGCCTGGCGGCCCGCCTCGACTTCCCTTGGCACGGCTCTTTCGCGAGTTTTTTGACTTCACGAACGAACCTCCCGGGAACTGTTCCGCCGGCCCGGTACAGACCGAATTTAAAGCGCGTGCTAGTGAAAAGGAACACCGTGTAAAGGGACAGCGGGGGGTGTTGGTGGAGAAGGAGGCGGTGGAGGAGGGAGAGGGGGAGAGGGAGACGGCAAAACGACGATGGCCCCCGCGCTGGAAAATCGCGGACGAAATAAAAGTGCACACGGGGACGTTTTGAGCGTCGAGTCGCCGTGTATTAGGACCTTAACTTAGTTTCCGCCCAAAAAATACTGAGAAAAAGCATTTATTGTAAAAAATTTATTTAAATTATTTCAATGAAAGTATTTTCCATCACTTTCTACAACTTTTTGCCATCTTTCTGGCAACTGGGCGATACCATCTCGATAAAACGATGTTTGTTTCGAAGCAATCCATTCGTCCACCCATTCTCGCACTTCTTCAACATTTCGGAAGCGTGT